GAAACGGTGGGAGCCTAAAATTATGGATGATCTTGAGAAGTTCGAGATTAGAAACTGGAGAAGGGAAACAAGAGACAGAGTAATGTGGCGTGAGCTAATCAACAGACGTGTGAAGGTTACCTCTGCATAAACTTTTTGCAGTGACGGATTTAGGGTGCTGTATGAAACCTTAAAAAGGTATATAGATGGTGACAAAAGTTTAAACCGTGTTTAGGTTCGGTAGAATACCTTTTTTTTTTAGAGAGTACCTAAGTAAAGTTGTAAAGGTAGTACTCTCTTACTTACCTAGCCACTCACTTACGTCTATTTCGTATAACTCTAATATTTTTAAACAAAATGATAATTGTTGTGAAAAGAACACTATGAAATGGAAAAGAATTTCTGTCTTGACGTACACTCGGGCTCTTTCACTATTAATCAGACAAAAATTAATGAAAAAAAACAAAACAAAAGCAAAACATAGTCTTGCCCTATCATTAGAAAAAGCTTGTCAGCGTTGCTTCTACGAAGCAAAAATGTGAAAACTTCTTACTGAACTGTTTGACTATAAGATAGAATATGTAATGATATATTGTAATAATAAACATATCGATAACCTACACAAATGTTTTTTTGCTATTCTCAATCGAAATTATGCAGCTACCAATGCTACGGCTTAAATATCATACAGATTTACGGAAGTCAAATGGAATTATCATACGCAGCTATAATAGGGCAATATCTGTGAAATATATATCTCCTCGACGGATAAAAAATGTCTAAAGTTATATGAATTGAAATTAAAATAAGTCAGAAAAGAGGGAGACGCATAAGACCATTTCCCGTCTCCCAATATTTTTGAAAAAGAATACATTTACATATTCGGGATCAGCGTGAAATTCTGTGTCGAATGACGTATTCGATTCACTCGAAAGTCGACTTTCATTTTTTTCTCAAATTTCAATGAAAGATACATCATTCGATGCGAATTTTATGCTCCATGTGAATATCAGGCTTAACGTTGAAAAAAATTGAGTTTTATCGGAAGATGCCGTCGGTGACCTAATCGAATGAATGCGGTTTTAGTATTTCAGGATGATATTTGAAAATTTTCAAAATCAGTTGAAACAGTTGAAATAGATATAAGATATTTTTTTGATTCATTTAGAACTACAGCATTTGAGATTTGACTGGAGAAAAAGTCCAGCAGAAAAGCTGCACTTTTGAACGCTTAATTCTCAGTACACAGATGCGGCACAAATTTGAGTAATATAACATTTCACTCAGACCTTGAACCACATATTAAAACGAATTTCGAAGGTTTTCTAGAAAACCTTTTGCTCGAAAATCCAGTTTTTGAAAAAAGCGTATCTTTTTTTCACTCAAAGCAGGCTTATTCAATAGAGCAACCGAAACTGTGTGTTCCGTATCATTTTCGTACTGTCTATGGTTTACGTTCGATCGTGAGGAAAAAAGTACGGAATCTAGTACGTGGTTTTTCGAGGTTAAAGCGATGTTTTACAGTGAAAATCGACATTTGGAACATTTTAAATGTGATATTCGGAAAGCTGATACGCTTTTGAGTACATATAGCTGATTTTGAAAGTTATCAAATATATTCGATTAGGTCACCAACGGCATCTTCCGGTAAAACTCAATTTTTTCGGCTAAGACTCAACTTTTTTTTGAACTTTAGCCGTAATATTCACAAGGAGCATGAAATTCTGCATTGAATGATGTATCTTTCATTGAAATTTGAGAAAAAAATGAAAGTCGACTTTCGAGTGAATCGAATACGTCATTCGATACAGAATTTCACGCTGACCCCGAATATGTAAATGTATTCTTTTTCAAAAATATTGGGAGACGGGAAATGGTCTTATCTACTCCCTTCCTTTATTATATGCCGAACAGATTATAGCCTTATATTCCGTTTGGGATATGATAACGTGCTTAAAAAGCATCCACTATGGACAAACTCTTGAAAGTGAGTAAGACTGCGTAAATATGAGGCGCAAGTACTCTAATTGTTAAGGCAAAGTCTCAATGATGCACAAAAGCTAGATATTCATATGTTGTTTGTTACAGATGGCATGTTTTCTTTGAGTTCTAGATGACAAAAAATGGTATCATTCTAATTGATGGAGGACTGGGAACAACGCTCGAATTAAATGGGTATACAATTCATAATGATCCGCTATGGTCGGGAAAATATTTGGTGAATGACCCAGCGGTAATTGAACGGGTGCACAAACAGTTAGGTGGAACGTCTTTTTTCACTTCAATTCTTCTAGTAATGTTTCTGTTTTGATCATACAGATTCGTCCAGGCCGGCGCGGACGTGATCACGACCTCCACATATCAAGTAAGCGTTCAGACTTTGATGAATGAACATTCCATGACGTTTGCAGATTCTCAACGTATTATTGAAAACTCGGTTAAAATTGCAAGAGATGTTATTAGTAAGTATGTCTAACAAAAGCAAACAAGGATTTATTTCAAGCTTGATTTTACAAATTTAAGAAAACGAAGGTGTTCAGTGTCGTGTTGCAGCTTCAGTAGGACCGTATGGTGCGTGTCTAGCTGACGGATCAGAATTTAATGGCTGGTACATTAAGTCGATATCCAAAGAAGTATTGTACTTTACTTCATCCATGCGCGTTTATCAATAGCACTGTTTATAGCTTCTTTCATAGGAGCTGAAAGATTGGCACAGACCAAGATTGGAAGCAATCGTTCGTGCGGAGCCGGATTTAATTGCATTTGAAACGATTCCTTCTCTCGTAGAAGCCGAAGCTTTAATTGATTTGTTGAAAGAGCATCCTAATACCAAAGCATGGCTGACATACAATTGCAAGGTATGCAAGAACCGAGACACTGGAGGACAAGAATCAGATCTTTGGGTTTTTTTTTATTCAGGAAAAAGACGTTTTCTTCTTGCCGTACTATCGAGATGGAATATGATTAAGTATTAAGTTGAATGCTTGTAACTCATAAACTAAGAAGTTTTTTCGAAAAGAGTTGTAAACAGTCCATATGGCACGTTTTTATTCTGAAATTCGAAGAAATTCATAACTGATTCTTTCTGGATAAGTACGATTCTCCATGTATTTTGAACAAAGCGCATTTTAGCACTATTAAGTATATGAGTTTTTCTGAAAGTGTTTTCTTCTCAATGAGACGTCTTCCAAAATTGTTCGATGATTTTTCGTGGAGATATGGCGTCACCTCAAATTCGTCTGGAGGATTCCAGAAGAAAATGACCTATACTCAAAATGTGTTTTTCTTTCTGCATATTTTTTCAACAGTCCCTTCCATCTAGTCACATTGTGCCTCTTCGGTAACTTGAACCAATCGACTTCAAAATTTTTTTTATAAATACTAGACAACATTGGCCAGGTGTCGATTTTATTTCGTTCTATCATCTTTTCTTTTTCAGTTACAGAAACTTTAAGGTTGAAAAACCTGGATTTTAAGACGTTATTTCAGTGTTTTTGGTATAATTTGGGAAGAAAAGATGATAGAAGGAAAAAGAATTTACATCTGGAAATATTGTTTACTATTTATGATAAAGTTTTGAAGTCGATCGGATCAAGTTATCGAGAGGTCGTAATAGAACGATATCAAAAACCGAGTTTTCGAAAAAATTCGACAATCTTTATAGTTAGAGGGTTGCAACAAAAATGAAAAGATGTTCAATTGAGTTTTCAATTACTCCTGGAATGGAGAAGGCTTTCCAGTTTATGCTTGGGGAGGAGGGGTATCCTTAACTGTTGCTCATATAACTAACATTCTGATCTTCTATCAAATTTTTTCCGGTTAATGCATAATAAAAGTGATCACTAATTACAATCATTTTACAGAGAATGAACAGAGCCCGTTCAATTGGCTGATAACAATTGTTTTTGAAAAAACTTCTTAGTTTATGAGTTACAAACATCCAACTTAGTCATATTCCATCGTGATAGCACGGAAAAAAGGAACGTTTTTTCCCTGAATAAAAAGGACTTGTATATATTCTTATCTAATTTCAGGACACAAAATCAACAGCATATGGCGAACCGATTGAAGATGCTGTTAATGTTTGTTTGAAATCAAAACAAATAATTGCTGTCGGTGTGAATTGTGTTGATCCGACGTTAGTTGAACCAATAGTGGAACGAATCTCAAACATTGATCGTGATATCATAGTATATCCGAACGCGGGCAACACGTGGAATGAAAAATTAAGGTGAATTCAGCAGAAAATATTGTCAGAGTCATAAGTCTAAATGTTAAACGCTTTTAAGATTCCATTTGTTTTTATTTCTGAAATAGACAGTACAATCCAGATGGTCAATCAATCGTCCCGTTTGTTTCTAATTATCTTAAAGCCGGAGTGAAATGGATCGGTGGATGCTGTGGCGTTGATCCAGATTCAATTCGTCAAATAAAACAACTTCTCGTCGAAGCATAAAACAAGTGTGCAGTGAAAATGAGAAATAATCTATATTAGCACGTGTCCCCGCATATGTGAACTTTTTGACATTTGTTTTTTAACCGTATTATGTGTTGGAATGTTACCTGCAATAAACTTTGAGTCATGTGTTGGTTAAGACTTTCTTCAGCTGAACAAACCGAGGCTTACTGGCTTATTGTACGTTTTGCCACTAGTTTCTTTGCTTTAAAATGAAACTAAAGAAGAACAAATTTGCCATGCGACTGAATTTAGTCTTAGGTTAAAGCTGCTCGAAATTGTCAACTCTAATCATACTTTTGCCGAGGAAATATTTTTAAGCTGAATTTGAGTGGTAAAAACGATATAAATACTTTATAAGCAAAGTGAAGAAATAACATGCTTTTAGATTTATGGGCATGGGCGACTTCCAACAAGTATTGCTTTTAAAATTCTGACGGGAAACATACAGCGTATTTCAAAATCTCCTGAGTGCGAGGTTTTTTTGCCATGATGAGCCTACCGAGATACTCAGTTTCTTTATTGGTTTGATGGTCATTAAGATCTGGATTGCCATCGATTGTTTGATACCCTTGGCCATTATTTTTTATATAATTCAGTGACTATATGAAAGTTAAGATAGAAATTCTTTAGTACATTGCGTATAGGTCAGATTTTACGTCCAAAAGTCGCCCGCCAAACGGGTCGACATTTTAAAAAATTGATATCTCAAAAACTGCATAATATTAACGGATGATTGTTTTGCCAAAGGATGGAGGGAGCATTTAAAACTCTGTAGACATAATATGTTGCTATTGCTTACATGTTTATGCAAAGGAGGATCAGGAATTTTAACACTAGAATGCCCGGAAATTTTCATGACCTAGAACGTCCAAAGCGGTCATCTTGACCATTACTATTTTCATTCTTAATTTTATAATTAAAAACGGTTCTGAACTCAAAAATGAATTAAAAATTCTGCAAAAACTGCTTTTTGTGGGACAAATTAAAAGTTATGACATAATTTATTTTTAAGTAAATTGTATGCAGTTTGTTTCATTAGGGCTAAAAATCAAAAAACGGTCAAAATGACCGCTATGGGCGTTCTAGTGTTAAGATTAAAATAGGGTATGATTAAAATATGAAGTCAAATAAACTAGTTACTAATTATAGTTGAAATTACTTTGTCTTTGTAATGAACTTTTATTGACGTTTCGATTGTATGTGTAATCTTTTGCCTACTGAAGAAGATTGTAGAGGCAGTCGAAACGTCAATAAAAGTTCATGCTGAGAAAAGTTTTTATACGGTGGGATTCAGTTAAAGCTCTTTAGAACTTTTTTGTCATTTCTGTCATTTAACATCGTGACTTTAAAATAAAATTGTTATGTTAAAGTTCATATTCAATGTTCATACTGTGACTGGGTTATACTCCGTCTTTAAAAAAATGTTTGCACTCATCAAATTGATCTCAGGAGCAACTGCGTTTATATCAAAGGATAGGGAGTTTTGTCTTCTATCGACCTGATTGGTCTCGAAAGTTGTAAAAGTAGGATTTGAGTTTAAAAAATGGTTAAAATTATTTTCTTGCCGTGTTTTTTCCAGTAATTACGACATTTCAAGGTTTTGAGTCTCGAATGGTAGTCTCGAACTTAGTCTCGAATGTTTTTTTATTTTGGCATTTCCAAAGAGAAAGTTTAATTCTGAACAGGTCTGTGTAATTAGCGACTTAGACCTTGAAAAGTTTTCAGGGGATATTCGTTGATTCAGAAGATATAAACATTTAAGCAATGGCAACCTATTACGTCTACAGAATATTAAATGCTCTATCCTTTGGCAAAACAATCATCCATTAATATTATGCAGTTTTTAAGATATAAATTTTTTTGAAATATCGACCCGTTGGAACGCCTTTTGGACGCAGATTCTGACCTATAAGCAATGTACTTCAGATTTGCTAGGGACAAGTACAGAATATTATTATGACTTTATGCAAAGAATTTCTACCTTAACTTTCATATAGTCACTGAATTATATAAAAAATAATGACCAAGAGTATCAGACAATCGATGGCAATCCAGATCTTAATGACCATCAAACCAATAAAGAAACTGAGTATCTCGGTAGGCTCATCATGGCAAAAAACTCCAGCACCCCGGAGGTTTTGCAATCCCCTGTATGCTTCTTTCAGGAGAAAATCATGCAACTTGCCTACTGAACGACAAAATTTGAAGACTATTAGTTCAAACATCAAGAACAATAGTTGTTTCTCCAAAAGAAATTTGTCAAGTGTTAATTATGAAGAAAAAGCAGCATTTGACTAATATGAAAAGAAGGCGTGATCATGAGTAACCACGCGAAGTCCATCAGCAATTATCAGTAAGAGAAACTTAAAAGGTGATAACTTTCAGGATAAGTTACGTACACCCGTTATGACCACACCTGTACACCGCCGCGCCGGTTTGCCGTCGCCGCCGCTAACTGTAGTAACTGACGTTTGATAGGATCGAGAAAACGCCTCCAGTTGTTCAGCATAATGGGATGGGACTGATATTCAACGTAAGATGTATAGGACTGGCAAAATTCAGTTCATAATAATTATTCGACACTTATAAAAGATTAAGGAAGATTTTTTAACCTTCTCTTCGATTGAGAGAATGTCTATTTTCTTTGCTCATATGATGAAACTTTTGCATTCAGCACATGAAAAAAACAGCGGCAAGTAGCATTTTTTGATTGAGACAATTTTTTCGAAAAGTAGTAGTTCAGTGAAGAAAACAAATTTAGTCCTTGATTTCGAGATTTTCCACTCACGCCGGCGAACCGGAAAAACTGCATCGGACTACTATCCATACCAAAACACAAGGCCGGTGGTTGCTTTTGAGTTTTGCTTTGGAGATAGATAAAGACTTGCGGTTTTCACCATTAGAAAGAAGACACTTGAAGACGCCCTTTCATAAGCGGG